CCGCGCTTTACCCCACGTGGCGACACATCAGTGTAAGGCGCGGTGCATGGGCCACACCTTTCTGCAAAGGGTGTTATATCCGTAATATTTTCTCTAACGGTGTCTGGCACGTGAATAATAAAGAAAAATTTTATTTTTCGAGAAATTAACCTCTAAAATTGGGATTTTTACCAAAAATATCTCAAATATTATAATATTACTTATCAAATATGGTTTCCCTAAATTTATAATAAGACGTGTTACGTGGAACGTGCCTTTGTTTATATGGACTGAAGGCGCGATTCTTGAAGCATAGTGACATGACACCACGTGGGAAGACAAAGAGACTTATCTTCCAGGGTTTTCTTGCCACATAAAATTCTCTTAAAGCATATTAAAAAAATATGCTTTAAAAAATTAAAAAATAAAACCATTAGGACTAACATTGTAATTTAATATATATAAGTTTCATCAGGTGAAGAGTATAACAGGGTTAGTTTATATAGGCATATTGGAGTGTTTAAATTATTTTTCTTGACAATTTGATATAAAAGCTAAAATGTGTATTCATTAATTTTTTTTATCTATATATTTAATGAATCTACTTATTAAATTACATTATGTTAATATTTATCATTAAGGTTTATTAATTAAGATTAGATATTTTTATATGTTAATATATTTAAATACTTATTTTTTAATTATGAATTATGAGTTCAAAAAAATTATATAACACAAATTAAAAATATTTCATTGACATATAAATGTATTATTTATTGAATATGATTAATTAGATCTATTATATAAGTTGAATCTAATATAAAAATATAAAAAAATATTGATTGGTGCCATGAACATAAAAGATGTGAGGGAAATGAAAATTCATCTGTGGTTTGATCCTACACAAGACTACCATAACTATGTAATTTTGTAGACCCCTACTAAGATTATGTAAGTGTGATCTAACTTGTTTGTAATTTTAGAAGCAAAATTGATATTTCTTAGATAGATTGACAATAGTATCTAATACATACAAAATATATAATATTAATTAATATAAACCTTAATAATAAATATTAACCTAATGTAATTTAACAATAGTGTATAAGTAGATTCATTAGATATAAAGATAAAAAAGTTAAAGGAATATACATTTTAGCTTTTATCTCACATTGTCAAGAAACATAACTTAAATACTTCAATATTTCTATATAAATTAACACCATTAACCTCTTCAACTCATGGAACTAATATGTGTTAAATTATAATATTAGTCCCTATAATTTTATTTTACAATTTCTTTTAAAGCATAATATTTTTAAAATACTTTTAGGGAATCTCATATGACAAGAAAATATTGGAAGGCGCGCCTCTTGAAACTCATATTTTCACATGGTGTCATATCAATATTTTATCTAGAAGGCGCGCTTTAAGGAACGTGCCTTCGGTCCATCAAGCAAAGTTACGTTTTATGTAACATGTCTTATTATAAAGGGTGTTAAATTGATAAAATTTAAAAAATAGTAACATGTCTTATTATAAAGGGTGTTAAATTGATAAAATTTAAAAAATAGTATTCGACAATTAATATTATAATATTTGGTTGATGTAAAATTGTGATTTTTTTTATTCATTCAGGGCAATGGGTTTTGTCTCGTTTTAAGCGAAATTTGCTTTGGATAGGATTCACCATCAATGTACGTTGGAGCAACGGGAAAAGCAAACAAAAGTTGCCGATGTTGGCGGGATGTTTTTCTGTTTTCTTAACTAATTTTTTTTATTAACTTGTAAATATATAAATTTTAATTATTTAATAATAAATATTTATGTCTTTGATATTTGTAATGCTCAAATATAAAATTTCAAAAAATAACAATAGTTGTTTTATCACTGATATCATTAAAATAGGAAAATTCTAGAATTGATAGTTACCATTTATTTTACAATATAAAATTTAAAAATAATTATTCAATTATTCAAAAATTTTAAAAGATTTTGTATTTTTATTAATTTGATATAAGTATAAGATAATATCAATTCAAAGATAATTCTCAACATTTGATATTGAACTTCCATACTTCTAAATTTATGGTGCTCGAACTTATGATCTCAAGAAATAACAATAATTTTTTTACTACTAAAATCATTTAGTTTGTGCTTAAAAATTATATGTTAAATATTAAACTTTAAATTTCATTATAAATAAGACACATCCTCATTAATTGTTATGAAAATGATATAATATACTAGATTAATAAAAAAACATCTAATTCTTCAATTAGAATTAAACTTTTATTTTGTTGTGAGGTAATTTTTATTATATTTTTAAAATAAAAAATAAAATAAATGTAAATAGAATTAAATATTATTTTTAAGTGTTATATTATAAATATTGATTTTGTGTCAGATATATCATTTAATATGTTGTTAAAAATTAAAGATTATTCTAATTATTTTTAGTTAAATTTAAGTATTTTTATTAACATGATATTATACCTTTTTTAAAAATGTATTATTTATAAATTATATTTAAATGTTAAAAATTAAAAATTTGAACCTCCTCATTTAATTTCAAACATTAAATATTCATTTAGGTGCTTAACATTACAAACATGATCATTTTAAGTGTCTAGACCGTAACAACCATTAAATTCTGCCGTAAAAGATATGTGTTGTTGCGTTCATGTAATTTTGAATTTTTTTTTAGAAAAATAAAATTGTATTTTAAAAAATCCAAAATTTCCAAAATCTTAAATATACCCAAACTTTGAAAAAATCTAAATATAATCTATTTACTCGCATCGACTATTGCCATTACTGTCGATTGAACCTCCACCCTATTGCGCCTCCACCCGATAGTCATTTTTCCAACGAAGAGCCACCACAATTGGAACTTATGGGAGCTGAATCGAGTTCGTCGTTTCTTCAGGTTTAGTGTTGATTTCATCATCAAGGTGTGGTTTTTGGGTAATTATTTGAGGGTAAATGACTATTAGGTGAAGACGTATTTGGGGGTAGGCTCGATCGACGAAACCGGCGGCCAAAACGTCAACCAACGTGGGTATAGGACTGGAATTATGGTTTTTAAAGTTTTTTGGCTTTTTTAATATTTTTGAAAATTTTGGGCTTCTTTAATATTTTTTATTAAAAAAACAATATTACAAAACATGACATGTGTCACTTAATTTTTTTAACTACAGTTACAGTCCAGACACCTAAAATGATAACATTTGTAACGTTAGACACTTAAATGAATTAAAATAAGTTTAGGCACCTATTTAAAAAAACAATATAGTTTGGACACTTATTTTATAATTAAGCCTCGATAAAAGATAATAAATTAATTAATAAAAAAAATTAGATCTTAAAAAATTGGGATAAAGTACATAAATATTCTCCTAATTATAGGGTGTTACTTTATTAGTCCACTGACTATCAAAAGTTATAAAATGACCCTTTGATTATAGGACATTACTTTGTTGAGTCCCTCGATTATTAAGTATTACAAAATAATCACTCGATTATTCATATTTTCTGAATTTGTATTTTTTCGTTAAAAATTTGATGATTGTTTGAGTCGATTGTTAAACTACTAACTAAAATAGTAAGATATGATAAAATATTGTCCTAGAACCATTTAGGTTGTATAATCATTTGAGATTAGATTTATCATATCTTAGTAAGTTAATGTCTATCTGAGATTGCCGTTAATTTTTTTTAAAGTAAAAGGACCAATTTGAAACATACCAATAGTCGGGTGATCATTTGTAACTTTTAATAATCAGCTACTCAAAATAACAATGTCCTATAATGATAGACTATTTTGTAACTTTTAATAGTTAGGAGACTCAACAAAATAATACTATATAATCAAAGGATCATTTGTGTACTTTACCCTAAAAATATAAATTATATTTTTTTAAAATTTTAGAAATTGATAGTTGATAAGATGTTGTGCATTATTAACACGCGGTGAAATTGGATAAAAGTAAGCGTAAATTATACGTTTGGTAATTGAATTTTACTATCTCTTATTTCACTCAATGTACTTTTAATTTTTTAATTTACTCACTAAACTTTATAAATTGTAATTTTTTTATCACTCCGTCGTTAAAATAATTAAACAAAGTTAAGCCATGACAATTTACATCAAAACAACATCACTTTGAATTACTAAAATAATTAAATTTTAGAGTAAAATGACGTTGTTTTGATTAAAATATGTCCATGTCACAACGTTGTTAATTATTTAACAACAAAGTGACAAAAAATTTGATCTATAATTTTTAGTGAGTAAAATTAAAAAAAAATGAAAGTATGATGAGTGAAATAGGAGAGAGAGAGTAATATTAAGTTACCAAACGAGAAATTTACCGTAAAAGTAAATAAAAGTGAAAAAAAATGTTCCAAGTTTCCTAGTAGGGATGGCAACGGGGTGGTTTCGGGTCGGGGATTGGTCTCCCGTCCCCGTTTAAAAAACTTGTACCCGTCCCCGCTTAAAAAACCACAGGAATTTTAACAGGGATCCCCATCGGATAATCGGGGAAAACCACAGGGAAACATGTATTCCCGTTTAGCATAAACGCTTATTTAAACGGGTATCGGGCCGGGTATAGGACCGAGTATATATATTTAAATTAAATATATAAATATTATATATATATATATATAATTTAAATTAAATTTATTAATATTATATATATATATATATAAATAATTATTTTTAATATTTATCGGATTGGGTATCGGTCGGGTATCCGGGTAATCGGAGCGAGATTACCAAATCCATCTCCGTCCCCGTTTAAAACATTCGATTTTTTCATATCCTCGTTTATCATCCCCGAATCCGATCCGTTTAATTCGATTTTTGATTTTTACTAACCGGTTCAAATTTTTTTTTTGCCATCCTTATCACTTAGCCTCCCAGGCCATAAAGCACAAAAGCGACGCCGTTTAAGACCACCACCTACCAATAAGCATAAAAGAGCCAAAGGAAAACATCGTTTCCCACATAAAAAGGCATATAAAAAATTTCCCCTTTCCCTTCGCCTTTCTCTCCCAGAGCTCAGCTGAAGAACCCAAAAACACAAGAAAACCCAACCCTCTAGTGGGTGGTTGAAGCTAGAAACGGAAATATATGGGCTAACTTCATTTTCCTTCTTCTCTTTTTTAGTATTTTGTTGGGTTTTTAATTTCTTGCATGTTGATACTCCTTGGTAGCTTTAACTCGCTACTTCCACTCACTTCTAACTCTCTTCGACTCTCTCATGGCTAATAACCCCCACGAAGCTCCCGCCGATGATTTCCTTGAGCAAATCCTCGGTCTCCCTAACTTCGCACCTTCGGAGGCGGGTTCGGCGGCACCCGACGGTGGATTGACTGGAACCGCTGCGGGAGCTGCGGCGCCAATGTTTCTACAGCTCAATTCCGGTGATGGCTCCGGAAATCTCGGCGGAGGTGGAGGCGGTGCGTTTCCCGGACAGGTTTTGCCGTTGGGGTTGAGCTTGGACCAAGGAAAACACGGGTTTTTGAAGCCCGACGAAACTTCCGGCAGCAGCAAGCGGTTTCGTGACGAGGTCGTCGATGGCAGGGCTTCTTCTGTAAAAAACGTAAGAAAAATTGTAATTTATCTTTTCTCTTCATTTATCGCTATTAATTTTTGTTTGTTTGTTTGTTTGATCACCGATCCCCGAAAAGGAAAAATCTCTCTTTTACATCAGTAATCTCTTATGTGTAACTCAAAGTCAAAGAGCTAGTTATATTGTGCCAACTGATGATACATTTCTTATTAATTAATCTCTTCTTTCCCCCAGTAACCGTTACAAGTTTCTTTGTCCTTGTTGAATTATTTCAAAGTTTTGCATTGCCAAGGGTGTCCCTGAGCCTGACATCCAATTTCTCTGTCTGGTTCGTTATCATGTTGCTATGACCTTGCGTTTCAGTCTAATAACACAGAAGACGAGGGAAAACATGGCAACTTTTGGTATTTGACGAAGTAAAGAGTACATCAAGCTCTTTCTAGGATCTTATAATTGACATAAACTAACTACAGTGCAGAATTATCCGATTCCCCTGCTAATTACCCATAGTGAAAGAAAACTCTGATATCCCCATTGTTTTACACAATAAAGGCCGTTAAAATAAGTGACTATTGATTCCTTAGTTTGAAGTTAAGTGATGTTTTTCTCATTTGAATTTACCAATTTTTCTTATGTTAGTGGTCCATCTACCCGAAAAATGCCTCTAGCCGTCAAAAATTACGAACATCATATACGGTTGAGTTCACTTATCTGTTGAAGGAGTCAAATTCGAGAAGATGGTCTATAAATATAAAGCGGTTGGTTTTGTACTTTAGTTATTTATAATGCCGGTTTATTATACAAATTTTATGGGAAATATTATGCTGAATTTTTTTAAAATTCTAGAAGCCCAATTATAGTAAGATTTATGTTGCTTTTTACTGGTAAATTCTAAAACATCAGATTGGGTTTACTCAGAACTATTACGGTTATGATGATTTTTTACCCCTTCTCCTTGTTGAGAGGAGAGATTTTGTTTGGGGAAAATGGTTTAGTAAATCCTATCATTGGTGATATGACTTATAAAACTTTCCAGGTTTTCCATGGCTCTCCAATACCTGCAAATGTTGCTCCATCACCACATCCACCAATAATGCGTCCAAGGGTGCGGGCTAGACGAGGACAGGCCACAGATCCACATAGCATTGCTGAAAGGGTAAGCTTAATTTATCAAAAATAAAACAATCACAGGAAATCATGATAATGGAAAATTATTTCGAACAACAGTCATCGAGGCGTATGTTTCTGTTGGAATGTGAGGCAATTCAAAAGGAATTCTTCTCACATCCCTTAAGAAACTCATTGGGACTAGTGTTTATAAGCCATTTCACAATATGTAACTTGTAAGAGTCAAGTTGAGGGGTTGGATGCGAGTGCCCAAGAACCAGGATCAACCATTCAAAAGGATTGAGTAGTGTAATTGGGAATTCCCTATGTGAATGGTCTTTTAGATACTATTTTTGTTGTTTAATTAATACGCCATGCTGAAGTTTATCCCCTGAATGGAGTTATATATGTTGCACAGTTGCGCAGAGAAAGAATCGCTGAAAGAATCAGAGCAATACAGGAACTTGTTCCTAGTGTTAACAAGGTCTGTTCCTTTCTTTCATTGTTTCATATGAAATGACGTGTGTGTTTCAAATATCTTGTTATATAACCTTGCAATATAGTTTTATGACTAACCTTGTGGTCTGAAGCTTTAAAACTGTAACTTTATTATTGTTTGAGGGTTTCTCCACTTCCTCCGGCTCATTTCCTATCTATCTGTGTTGTCTGTTAGTCGAATTGCATGTAAAAATTGAATGCATTGGAGTGTCCTAATCTGAGAGCTAGTAACTCGTAACTTAAGAGTTGACTAGTGTTGTTTAACTTAGCTAAGTTGATCACTGTTATATGGATCTCTTTGAGACAGCTAACTTTATGGTAGATATTCATGTTTGGGGGGAAGGTTAGTTATGTTGATAAGTCTTTACTTCATTTAGTAGTGACGTGTTCCTTCTTGCAGACTGATAGAGCAGTCATGCTCGATGAAATTGTAGATTATGTGAAGTTCCTGAGGCTCCAAGTTAAGGTACCATTAATTCTGTTTACCTGTTTGATTTTGTACTTCGTCTTCTATATTTAAATATATATATTTTAATTCCTTATTTTAGTGCTGCTTAGGTCATGTTTATGGGATTTGTCTATGATGTCTTATTAGATGAACGTGCATTTTAGTTTCTAAGGTTTTCTTTTCTCAGTATACTTGGGAGTCATTGTTGATTGATCATTTAACAGGTTTTGAGCATGAGTAGGTTGGGCGGGGCAGGTGCAGTGGCACCACTTGTGACGGACATCCCACTATCATCGATTGAGGTATTACAAATATGTAATCATTAATACGCCCCACATTTTCCTTTTATCATCGGTTGAATTTGGAAATTGAGATTCCTCTATTACACACCAGGATGAAAGCAGCGAGGGTGGAAGGAGCCAACCGGCGTGGGAGAAATGGTCAAACGACGGCACGGAGCGACAAGTAGCCAAGCTTATGGAAGAGAACGTTGGAGCTGCCATGCAATTCCTCCAATCAAAGGCCCTTTGCATCATGCCCATCTCACTGGCCACAGCAATCTACCACGCCCAACAGCCGGATACCTCCTCCATTGTTAAGCTCGAATCAAATCCTCCTCCATAGGAAGAAAGGAAACGAAAAATAAGGGTAAGCATCCCACAGTCCCATCCCTGGTCCCACATTACAAAAAAAATAAAGTCAGATGCTTTGCCATTCTCTTACACCACCCCCTTTTGTTTTTTTTTCAAACAGGGTTTGATGTCTGCCTAAGAAAATACCGGCAGGCCCTTCATGTCCTGACAAGTTAAAAAGATGAAAGGGGGGTTGAGGAATTGTCAAACCTCACTTGATAATGCTATCCTCTTTTTTGTAACAAAGGTGAGGTTTGTGGACAATGATGGAAGCACTTTCATAGTGGGGGGCTATGATTTTGGTTAGTGGGTTGTCGGCCCTACAAAATATATTATATACATATATATTGTACTATAGTGTTTTGTAACTCTGGTGTTTTCAGAGGAAATAAATGCACAGTGGTAGGAGAATGGATAATGGTTGGCTACTCTAAAATGCTTGTTGCTTTGAAGTCCAACTGATATTTGATAATGCCATCTTTGTTTCCTTAAAGTAATTTGACTTGCCTTTTCCTAGTTGTGATGGGATCATTATTATATCGGATCGGATGGAGCCACCGAGGGGGTCGAGATGATTGGCCAAGTTTGGTTTGTTTCCAAGTGTTATTATTCTTTAGTCGTATTATTAAGTAATGAGATAAATCTTATCCAAAGGATATATTATCACGCAAGAATTATGGTATATTGTATTCTGCGTTTATACTATTTATGTTTGATGATATTTATTTAAAAGTTGGTAGGAAACATAATGAACTTCACTTGAGAAAATTAGTGAAGTCATGTATTTACATGTATTCATGAACTCATGAATTGATGTAAGTGCCCCACACAGCCAGTCAAGTTGAGATTAAATATTGATTTATTCTTTCAAGTTAACAGGAAACTGATTCCCTCTTCTCCTGTAACCAGCTTCATGCTAAACAAATCAAGCCTACATGGAGAAACCACCTACTATAAAAACTTATTTACATTGGTGTAATTGATTTTGTTTTCCTCAATTTTATTTACACTGATATAAGGTAGTTGAGAAATATAGGAAATAAGTTGAAAGATGACTTGTTGAAGAAGAAAAGAACACTCGTTTTATAAATTTAACGCGTTTTTTCTGCTAACTTGTAACTGATTTTACGTTGATTATTTATTTTACTTGAATCAAACACCAAAAAATTATGAAATATGTATTTCAAAAAATAAATTATAGTGAAACAAATAGGCCTTTAAGTTGTATGTAACAGTTTATCCTATCGATAAATTTTCAATTTTTAAAGAAGAAATATAGGGATGGATCTATGGCGGGTGGAGAGAACCATCCTCCTTAAAATTTTAAAATTATCATATATTTAATTTTTTATGTATTTTCTATTAAAAATTATTTATTATTTTAAAATTTTATAAATTTATTTCCTCTTAAAATTTCAAAAACTCGCCCTCTAACATAAAGTCTTGCATCCTCTTTAAAAAAATATACGTAGATATATATAGAGAGAGAAGAATACACATTGGACATGCATTCATGATGTAGTTCTATAACAAGATAGAACAGCCGAACCCTATTTGAACATGATATAGATGTACATTCGCAAAAGGAAATAGTTTGGGCTAAGGCTAGAGGGACAATCCAGACTCCTCGTCCTCTTCAAGGGAGGAAGTGTAAACAAAGTAAAGAGACCAAATCAAGCCGAATACTCCAAACAGTATCCACCCAAGAAAATTGTTGCTCAAACCAAAGGGAAGTCCAGTTCCTTCAATCGACATGGTTGCCGCACATGCTGCTGCCAGCAACGATGCACCCATGCCCGACCCTTTGCCCTCACTTTCTCCTCCGCTGAACACATCACTTTCCCTCTCTTTGCCATCCTTGGCAGGCCTGAAAACAAAATATGCGGTTGAAGTGAAAATGGAAACAACCCTTCTAAATTACAATAGAAACTTACCAATAGCAACTGGGGACTCAATCCTGGCTAATGGCCTGGTTGCAACAGTTGCAGGGATGACTGATGTGGTAGCTGATATGGTCGCCATATTACTTAGTCAATTGGGGAAGAGAAGAAACTTCTAAAGCTCAGCTTAGTGATTTTGCTGCAATGGCAGTACAATCCAATCGGCAAATCAATTTACCCTCTTCGTTTGATATCCCCTATCTACATACACCCAACCAATTTCGTCCACGTGTTGCAACATCCACCTATAAAACAAAGATTGATCCAAGAGTGTTCCAACAAAGACAAGAAAGCTAACTTGGACCCTACATAAAAAAATTAATTTATTGATATGATTCAAAATAAAAATTAAAGGTTTTTTCAAGTATATCTAAGCCTGTTTTAGTGGAATTATTTTGATATCAGTTATGTACAAATGTATAGCTCTCCGAGTAGAGCAACCCCCCCCCCCCCAAAAAAAAAAAACCACTTAAGAATCTTATCGTCGTAAATTTTGACTCCACCCCTAAAAGATTATCAAAAAAATGAGTTGACATTTACATGAACGATTGTTGAAAGAATGAGATCAATAAGAGCAGTTCCCGGTATCTGCTGCAACTAGTAATGTGGTATGAACCAAAGAATCCCACTTTTATGTTTGTGATCGTTGATTACTCATTGATATTGCACTGTTGCATGTAAGGTTGGTCATACTGCAAATGTTTGCTCCAGTAGCCCTTGTATTTTGCGATTCCGATTTCCAACCAAGGTTTCATGACCCCATCATAATGTAAAACTGCGGCATGCTCGATATAACTTGAACTGAGACCAGCATTATAACCTAGCCCGAGTATGTGCCATCTCTTATCTAAAGCTACAGTCTGGTTGTAGAAGGTAATCCAACCTAAGGGCAAGCTTCCTGCTTTCCACAATGGCCTCTCAAGTCCCTGTAACGAACCAGGCAAACGGGCATATAATAGAACACACCAGTACAAAAATTCTTGAAAACAAGCTTTGAATTAACATTCTTTTTGATTCATCAGAATAGAACAACATAGCATTGAAATGGAAAACAAGCAACATGTCATTTAGAAGAAAGGTGACCATCTTTTCAAGGAATTAATGTGCAGCCCAAAAGAAAAAATCACAAGCATAATATATTAACATGGAGCAAATGAGAAAGGAAAGGGAAGTAAAAGCCCTTACCAGTTGCACATAAGTACGATAGAGCCCGGTTAAGTTCTTTCTTCTCCATTCTTGGAGTTCAAACAAATTCATACCAAATGCCCATGTGCAAGCATTGGCATCAAACCTCTTCTCCAAAATTGGGTATGAGAAGTTCACATACGTATGCATCACACGATACGAAGCTTCACTTTCCAGACAAGTCTCCACAGCCGCATTTACCTTCCCCTTCATGTCAACACTCCAAATTTCAGTTAAGTCTCTTTGCACTACCACATCGTGATCAAAGAGAACAATCTTATTCAGTGCTGGAAAGATGTCTGGCAGATAGAACCGAAGATGGATAAGGACAGAAGTATATCTTGGATCATTGAACTTCTTTTCTTCTGATGTTGAAATATGAGTGGTTGGTAACCATTCGAAATTTTCTATGCTCTGAATATGAATTGTAGCTTTCCCAGGAGGATTTAATAAAAACCACATTGAAATTGCAGGGAGGTTGAGAGAATCAGTCACTACATGAAAAACAATTTTCTCCGGTTCCTGCATTGTCAAAACTAATTATCAGGGTACATTACATCCACCAACATGTAAATCATAACAAGTAAACAGTTACTCTCTAGTAAAATAAAACAACAGAGCATCCTCGCATGGCCTAACACAGATATTACGTGAGCGTAAAAAAAGACAAACACTTTGAATAAGCACAACCATGTTTAACCTCATAAAACAAGCCAAGACTGGAATTTAATGAAAATTGATAAAATATAAAAAACTGGAAGTAGCAAAGGAAGTTTACCTTTGCAGAGGAAATTGTGGAGTTAACAACCACCGCACAAGCCAAAATATTGTTGGAGAATACAGCATAGTGATAAAGGTTTGGATCATTCAACTTTTTTTGGTTAGGGAACTGCCTTTCCTTGGGTTGAAGGAAAAAATATTCAGCTGTCAACCGCATGGAGAGGCAGTGAAGGCCTTTAGGGGTAGTCCTTCCAGCAAGTTGGACAAGATATGACTCTTGATTCTTCTGCGCCCGAATCTTTTCTTCAGCATTATAAGCCATGGCACGAAGTTTTGTTGCCATTTGAGAGCAGTGAGGGTATGCACGACTTGCTTTGGACAATGAAGCCTCCATTCCTTTCATTTTCTGTGAAGCACTGAAAAAAATCAACTGTTCCTCAGATATAAAGCTTGTGGAAGCAATTTAACACTAAACTTAAGCTTAGTTACTCGGGTAATTGAGAATTCAAGTTTGTTATTGGATATAAAATGCAATGGCACACTTCTTTACCTCCATGGCAAATCAAAATCCTTGCAGGCATCACCGATTGCTTGTTCAACCTCTTTGATCCGCGTTCTCAACTCTTTAATTAAGTGAGAGTTACTATTCGGTGGTGCAAAGCTTAAATAAGCTTTTGCTCGAATGAGCTGATCTCTCATCAGCTTTATCTTCTCATCCACTACCCCGTGTGATTGAGACTGCAAATGCTGATCATGTCTGCGTCTTTCTTGACTGTGCAAATGCTGGTCATGCCTGCCTCTTTCTTGATTGTGCAAATGCTGATCACGTTTGCCTCTTTCTTGATTGGGTTGCTCCTGCAACCAATAAATAAATGTTAACGGTATGATCTATATATGCATGTATATATATACTCAAGATCTGACATTCTAGAGAAGAACTACCCTCATCCTAACCCCTCCACACACACAAACACACCAAAAAAAAAAAACCTTCAGATTCTGATAGGAATATTACTGAAGAGATTCTGGTAAAAAGAATTACATGAATTTTGTCCTGGTATTTCTCAGATCTAGAGATTAGTGCTTCACTGACTTTTGCATTACAAATAGAGTCACAGAGGCAAAAACTGAATGTAGCGGAGAGCAAACTAAAAATCATGAGTAGGAGATTGTGGCACAAAATGATAGAAGAAGGTGGTCTGGTCCAATTTTTAAGGCTTATGATTTTATCAGCTAGTTTTACCACAACTATTTGGTGTTAAAAAACAAACCCTCTCTTCATATTGATAGCAATCATTTATACCCTAAAATTCAAATTTATAGCATCTTACCATGCTTAAGATACATATACATACCTTTTTCCTGGAGTTCACTAGTTTGATATTCTGCTGAATTTGATGCTCGCCTTTTCCTTTTCCTTCATGAGTAGTTTCAGACTTTAGAAATGGAGCAACTGAGAGTCGCATCTAACTCAATAAATGAAAGGTGAATGTCCCAATATACCAGATGCACCCAAGTAAATACTCACTTGTTTCTAACAATTTCGAGGCATTTGGAGCATTCCCAGATTGGTACAAGCCACGATTCTCATCAGAACTGTGACTAACTACAGAGCTAAAATCCTTCTCTTTGAAAACAAGCTTTGGACCTTTTAATTCCTCGGCACTTTCCTAAATAAGAAAGCAACAAAGATCGATAAGCATAAACTGTGAAAAGCATTTCAAGGTAAGACGCCCATGGCAAAATGCACTAAATCCTTGAATCTTAAAGCTACCTGTTCAACTGCATTAAATCTTAAATTATCTGTCCTATGTTTCTGTACCAATAAAAGCCAAAAAAAAAAACCATTACGAACCAATCAAAAGTTAAAAAATAAAACAGAATTCAGATATCCGTACAATACTGGACAAACCTCAATAAACTCCCGCTTGCCTGCCGTGACACAAATGCAAAGAAAACAAGATCAGTCAACATCTCAAAAATTAAATTAAATAAAAAAGAAAAATCAAATGAAAGAAAGTGAAAAATATATAATATATACATTTTTCGTTCACTGAAAAGTAATGCATATTTTTCTGTAAACTTAAGATGCAAAATACTGCTAAGTAATCCTCATTCGCTTTCTTGTCTGATCTACTACTCCATGAAATATAAACGCATTCCAGATTTCATAGAGAGCGAGAGAGAGAGAGAGAAGTGATAGTAGAAAATCTATATATTCGAAGAGGATTACCAATGGAAGTGAGGGTTTTGAGTCCGAGAGAGACCAGCATGATTGGAGCTATTACAGAGAAAGAGAGCAACGAGAGGATCAGAATCCTCAGCCATCGACGATGCTTCTTCATCAACCGATAAAAATTATCAAAAAGAAGAAAAAAAGAAAATGAAAACGGCTAAACGAAAACAAAAACAGTTCCTCGCCCGTTTGAATTCCCTTTTGCTTCCTTAATCGTTCTCCAAAAAGCACATATCACAGATTCAAATCGGCAACTATTCGATGCTTGGGTTACAAGGAACAGAAGTTAAACAAAACAAAAATTGATTTTTTTTTTCTTTCCAGAGGGGGAAAATGTAGGTTTGGGTGTAGAAGTTCGTTCACGTTGTGGGTCTACGATTGGAGTAGAAGGAGATTTTGTTCGCTTTTTTTTTATTATTTTCATCTCCGATTTTCTTGCCTTTTTTTTTCATTTTGATTTCTTCACGTTTCATGGATTTAAATTGTTCTCTGATCTGGAATCTAGATTCTTATAAACATTATATATATATGGATGGATATAAGCTGGAGGTGAGAGGTTACTCAACTCCCAACTTTGACCTTACCGTTCTCATATTATTCAAAGACATTTGAATCGCGAAAAAGGCGAGGTAGAGAGATTAAGAATTGTGATGTCGTGTTCACTGTTTTCTGACGGGGATGAATGAGGGGTGATTCTGCTGTGCTTCGATTAAAAAAGAATAAAAAACGGCGTGACCTGTTAAATAAGAGACCGGTTAAAATTTAGATCAGTTATGTTATGTTATTTAACCGAAAATATTATCAAGTACAATAATATATTAGGTAGCGCTTATATAATATAATAGGTAGCACTTATATTGACCTATTTTCTAACTAAACATGTATATTTAAACCGGTAACATTACAAATTTACCTATTACATTATAATTATCGGTTTTGATGTTTTTGGAATTGATACAATTTTAAATGTATCAACACTTTATACGTGCACCTCGTTGTGTTTTCATTTTGGGAAAAAAGTATCGACACATATTTAAATAGTGTCGATACATAATGTAAACCTATTTGCTAATTAACCAGTATATTTTTACCGGTTACATTATAAATTTACCTGTTACATAATAATTATCGATTTCGATATTTTTTGAATCGATACTTTTCATAAATGCATCGACACTTATGCGTGCACCAGTTTGAGTTCTTCAATCATAAATTTATTCTTTAAGAAACTAAAACTGGCCTAATTTTATCCTATGGGGATAATAAGAGTATATCATAAGTTTGCGTTGAGAGATGTTTGTTTCTGGGTTTTTGTTCTTTGAGAAACTGGTAACATGGTGGGTTTCCCAATGTTATTCTTTTGTTACTGTAAAGTTTTTGTTATTTTCTTACTGGGTTTTGCTTAAAATATCTAACTTTTTGTATTAAAAAATGAAAATTCTGAAATAAAAATGATCACACAAGCACACTTTTTTACTACCGGTTTTGTCATTTCGAGATCGATTTTGTCATATTTTTACCTGTTATATTGTTATGGATCGATACATTTTTATAAAGTATCGACACTTTATTGGCGCTATAACTTATTTTCTTTTAAATTCCAAAAGTGTCGATACTTATAATAAAATATCGACACTATCAATATATCTGGCATCTCTTTACCGGTTTTGTCATTTTTTTACATGTTATATTGTTATGAATCGATACATTTTTATAAAGTATCGACACTTTATTAGCGCTATAACTTATTCTCTTTTAAATTCCAAAAGTGTCGATATTTATAATAAAATATCGACACTATCAACATATCTGGTAGCGCTTTACCTGTTTTGTCATTTATAGACTGGTTTTGTCATTTTTTTACCTGTTTTATTGTTATGGATAGATACATTTATATAAAGTATCAACACTATCAACATATCCGGTAAATTTAAACCGGTTACATTGTAAATTGACCTATTACATTATAATTATCAGTTTCGATGTTTTTGTGATCGATACAATTTTAAATGTATCGACACTTTATGCGTGAACCTGTTTGTGCTTTCTTTTGGAAAAAAGTATCGACACAAACTTAAAAGTGTCGATACTTTATGTTGACCTGTTTTATAATTAACCGGTATATGTATACTGGTTACATTGTTAATTTAAATATTACATTATAATTATTTGTTTCGATGTTTTTTGGGTCGATACTTTTTGAAAATGTATCGACACATATTCTTATATATGTATCGAAACAAATCTTTGTGTTTACTAATTTTGTCATTAAAAAAGTATATTTTTATCACCTACATTGTAAATTTACCTATTACTTTAAAGTTATTGAATGTTGTAGTTATTGTACATACCTGAATATGTCCTGCAAATTTAATGTTGTACCCACCCTCCAACTACCACTACCAATACCACATCCTATTGAAAGCACCACTGAAAAGATGTTGTTCAATGAACCTTTACTTACATCTCCATCAACTCCTGTTGGGACCACTGAAATTGCACAACAAAATTTTTGCCATGGATCATACTAATGCAGACAATGTTAAGCCAACCAATGAATGCCATAAAGTACATAATGTTGATGAATCTGACATATTGGTTGGTAAGCTCTTCTCTTAACGTGATCAAGCTTGGTACTTTTACAAGGGATTCGCACGGGAACATGGGTTTTGTGCACGTAAGGGAATAACACGGCTTGACGTGGAAGGGAATGTGAAGACACAAGAATTTTGTTGTTCTAAAAAAGGGTTTTGAGTATCAAAAGTCAATATTATTGATCGTCAACGTGCTCATAAGCCAGTCACAAGAACAGGATGCAAGGCTAGAGTCATAGTTACAACAACAAATACAAACGATCAGTGGGTTATAAGTAAGTCTTATCAGAAACATAATCATACATTGTGCACACCTGCTATGACACCATTTATGCGTTCTAATAGAGCTGTAAGTAAGGCTGATATCGATGAGACAACAACATTGAAAGAGGTCGGTGTTGACACGTCACAAGTAATAAACTATTTAACGCAACAGGCAGGGGGCTATCATAATGTTGAATTTACACATAATGACCTCTACAATGCACTTCAAAGAGGTAAAGCAAAGGAAATCGTCGATGGGGATGTGAATGCGCTTATTGCTTACTTTGATTATAAGAAACATGATGATCCCGAGTTTTTTGTGACATACTCGGTAGACGAATCAGGGACGTTGCATAATCTTATTTGGTCGGATTCTACATCGAGACCAGATTACATATGCTTCGGTGATGTAATTACGTTCGACACAACGTACAAAGATAATTTGTATGGTCGACCAATTATGCCTATTATCAGTGTCAATCATCACCATAACACAATTGTGTTTGCTACTGCCATAATCGCTGATGAGACGTCCCAATCTTTCAAGTGGGTGCTACATAATTTTTTAGAAGCCATGATGAAAAATCGCCTATTTCAGTTGTCACCGATGGGGATAGGGAAATGCAGAGGGCTATCAAATCTGTTATCCCTAATGCTAAGCACATATTATGTTCTTGGCATCTTTCTCGTAATGCACAAGCTAACATTGGTGACCCAAAATTTACAGCAGTATTCTCAAAATGCATGGCTTCCTGGTGGACAACCGACAAATTTGATATTCAATGGCGTTCAGTTGTTTCAAAATTCAACGTCGAAAAGCATCCATGGGTGATTGAGAAGGGAAATACTCGGCATTTATAGGCACAAGCATATCTAACCGGTCATTTCTTTGCTAATATTCACGCAACACAAAGGTGGGAGTCTATGAATGCTTCACTCGCAATTGCACTGAAACACAAGAAGACTTATTTAGATGTTGTTCATGCAATTGAAGATGGAATTAGTAGAATGCGTCTGAACGAGTTGAAAGAAGATTACTTAAGTTCCTAGACGAAGCCCTTCCAGATCACAAAACTAGTTGAATTTGAAAGTCATGCTTCTGAGATTTTTACAAGTAAATCTTTTCATGCGTTCCAAGAAGAACTTCAACGGGAGACATTGTACAGGATTCAGGAAGAGATTCAGTCCTTATCAGATGAATGTCAATATTTTTATTTGAAAAAGTACAAAGAAAAAAAATAGGACATTTGAAATTAGTTTTGATTCTCGTACGGAAACTCTAAATTGCTCATGCAAAAATTCGAGACCGTTGGACTTCCATATCGCCATCAACTTCACGTTTTGAAGCACTTGGATTACACATATTTGCCCGGGTCTTTGATTCAAAGTAGGTGGACTAAGGATGTGAAGGCTTCTGCACCCAGTTTTGTTGATTTGAATGTGCCTCAAGAAATAATGCAAATGGCAAGGTTTGTTTTTCTACGTGCAACAACAAGTTTGTTATGCTACGCTGCATTAAAGACAGACACGTCTTTCAAAACCGCAAGAGATGAGATGAAAAAACTAACAAAAGAATTTGAGAACTCGTTTGGTTTGAATGATTCAGTCAATCAAAGCAGTGTATTAAACAACGTTCGCGACCCTCAACGGAAACAACGCAAGCGAAAAGAAGTAACAAAGAACAAGGTCGAGAAGAAGATTAGGTGATGTGGGTTCGGCAACGGTGAGGAACATAACAAACTAACATGTCCTCAAGTCAAGCTGGGTTTGAATACAAGCACACAGTCTACTTCAACTGATTTTTTTGAAGACGGAATGGAATGGTTATGAACCTCCATCACATGATGTTAGAGACATTTGGTTATAATTATGTTTTTCGATGTTTTTGGGATCGACAATTGTTATAAATGTATCGAAACTTTGTTGTGCACTTGGTTCTAAAATACATTCTGGACAAAAAGTATTGACACTTATTCTATTTGTGTCGATACTTTTTGTACACATGTTTTCTCAAAAACCGGTATATTTAGACCGGTTATATTTCTAATTTACCTATTACATTATAATTATGGTTTTCGATGTTTTTGGGATCGATACTTGTTATAAATGTATCGACCGTTTTTAGTGCACTTGGTTTTGAAATACATTTTGGACCAAAAGTATCGACACTTGTTTGATTTGTGTCGATACTTTTTTTACACATGTTTTCTCATATTTAGACCGTTTACATGAAT